CGGTCCCCTGTCCCCTGGCGGGCGGCCGTGGTACCGGAAACTTTGCGCTCCTGCTTGGGGCTGTCAGAGCGGCCAGCCGAGTGAACTGTCCTGGAATCTGAAGTTTTTCCGGCCACATTACAATGTGGCCAGACTCCACAACACACCAAGAGCTGGGTAATTTAGCAGAATAGTCTCGGGAGTTTACTCTGAGGCAGTAATTCGGGGGAATCCCCTGGCGGGCGGCCGTGGTACCGGAAACTTTGCGCTCCTGCTTGGGGCTGTCAGAGCGGCCAGCCGAGTGAACTGTCCTGGAATCTGAAGTTTTTCCGGCCACATTACAATGTGGCCAGACTCCACAACACACCAAGAGCTGGGTAATTTAGCAGAATAGTCTCGGGAGTTTACTCTGAGGCAGTAATTCGGGGGAAGAACAAAGTCATGTGTGCTAAGACACGTTTAACGGGCTACTCTGAGCAGTCGGAAACTGGCTTCTACCCAGATCAGTTAAGGGAGAGCTAGGTAAATCATGGAATTTCAATTCAGCGAACTCTTAGGAACCCATTAAAAATGACAAGCAGGTAATACCAGTATGGTTAATGGCCTAGGTGTCCATGCACCCAAATTTGAGTCTTGGCTCCATGTCGCTGGCTCTGTCTGAGCTTAGGCTGCCAAAATAAAATACCTTAGACAGATTGGTTTAAACAACAGACATGTATTTATTACAGTTCTGGAAGCAGAGGCATCCAAGAGCAAGATGGCAACACATTGGGTACCAGGTAAGGACCCGTCACCTTTCCCACATTCTGTGCGCAGGGGAGAGCAAGTTGATGGCCGTTGATCCTAACAGGAGAGTCCTAATAGAAGAGCCCCTCTCAGGATCCGGCCTACGTAAACTAGAAAGTCACATACAGATTACTAGCAGAGGAGTGGAGAAAAATAAACTACGCTTATAAAAAGGGAGCAGGAGTAGCTAGATACCATTGAGACAGAGCAAGGAGCGTTGTGAGCGATAAAGAGCGGTATTAAATAGTGATAAAGAGACCAGTTCTTCAAGAAGATCTAATGAGACTTACAATACGTGCACCTAACAACAGAGCATCAAACTATGGGAAGCAAAAAGTGATAAACTTGCAAAGAGAAGAAGATAAATAAATCCCCGATCCTAGTTAGAGACTGCTTTGCGCCGTCCTGTCAGAAATGGACAGATCCAGCAGGCAGAAACTTAGGAATAGTATGGCTTAACACAGCACCACAACTGAGGATAAAAAAGGACCTCTGTAGAGTGCTGTGTGCAGCAGCACCTGAGGACAACGCCAGAGTTAGAAAGGAAGAGGAAAGCAGCATGAAAGGGAGAGACCAGAGCATTGGAAACACCAAGACGAGGGAAAGTGTGCCCTGAAGATGGTGGTCCGCTGAGGTGCAGCGGAAGAGATGGATTGGAACTGGCAGCCCCAACTAAGGCACAAAGGGCACTGGAAATCACAAGACGGAGTTTGGCACTGACTTTGAGGGTATTAGGTTTCATCAAACAGTTCCGGGCAAATGCGTCAGCAAACTTTTGTTAACAGTGTATGCAGGAATAAGGGTGGCCTGATGACCTGGGTTCCTGGCTTGAGACACCCTGAGCTGGAGCACACAGACAAGTGGGGTGTGGGGTACAGCTCAGTGGTAATGTGTTCGGGGTGCAAGAGGCCTTGCGTTTGTCCCCCAAAAAGATTAGGTTGGTAGGTTGGGTAGGGAAGACAAGTTTCTCTGCGTGTTTGGGGTGGGACATCGAAGTGGAGATACCGAGGTGGTGACTACATGTGGGTCTGGAGTAGCACAGAGATCCAGGACAGAAGGAGAAATAGGTCTGGGAGCCCTCACCACGTGCTGGAGGTCGGGGTTGCTAAGTGTAGAGCAGCTTAAGTGTGTTGTGTGAGGTCTCTCCCTCGGAGAGACCTAGCGTGTCTAGATGTGGGTGGCAAGGAGTAACCATCACTGGATCCTGGTCCTTGCGAGGCGGAAGCAAAGGTGATCCCGAAGAATAATGGCACAGAAGCAGAAGGGGGTCTCCTTGTTACAGCGGAGAAGGAAGTATGCGTACAGGTGTGGGAATGTGGTGGGCAGGAAACAGGAACCAGAGATTTCCTGGGGGACAGATTTTGATTCCTCCCAAGTGGAGTCCTCTGCTGAGTGGTGGGGAGCTGGTGGAAAGTGTCGTTTAAGGAGAATAGAAAAAGGTTTAAAAAGCCAGTTGTGGAGAGAAGGAAAGAGTGAGATAAAGACACAGAGGAATCACCACTGTTTACTGGGTCCCCCGGTGAACCTAAACCTAATTTATAATAACTTTCTTTCACCCAAGTGTTTTAGAATCCCCTTATGATTTCTGCTTGAATTGGTTATTATTTTGGTGGTTGCAAAACAGGCGATTCTCAAAATTCTATCATTCCTTCTCCAACTATTACTCGGCTACCTACATGATAAGTGAAAAGCACAAGCAGTAGTAATTGTCACCCAAATGTGTTTTGCTTTGCTCCCAGGAGGTGAGATTCTGATAAAAAAGTATGTCAACCGAGGTGTATTTCATAGGAAAATTTCAGAAGTATGTTTCTATAGTGATAAAGAAATTCCTATAGTTTATAAAACAGATACTTTCTTTAAAGACTTGTAATAAATTTAAGTTTAAAAAATCTTTTAAAATGTAAATAAGCATAACCAATCAACACTGTACAATCCTGAAAATACATAAAACAGCAGTCTTACCAACTGGCGACGAAGAGCAGTCTTTTCTAACAGTCTTTTTTAAAGGATTACTTAGGACTTTCTTTTTTTTTGGTACCAGGGATCGAACTCAGGACCTTGTTCTTGTGAGGCAGGTGCAGGCACCACTGAGCTAAATCCCCAGCCCAACTTAGGACCGTTTTTGGATCAAAAATGAATTTCAAATGTCAATTCATACTACGTTTGATATATGGGACACCACAGCCCAAGTGTTTTCTTGTTTGGATTCTGGAGATCGGGCATAAGGCCTCGTGCATGCTAAGCACTCACTCTACCCCTGAGCTGTAGGCCTGGCCACTGTCACCATTTAACATTTTATCCTTTGGGGCCTCTCTATTCTCCTTTGTCCATTGAAGAGTCAGAGAGATCATAAAACCCTTTCATATTATTCACATTGCATGATTAAAACATTTACTAAGAGAATTGTGCTTTCAGCCTGCTTTAGCTAAAGAGAATATCATCCTAATTATTTGTTTGTGCTCACCCACGTAAGAGTAGTAAGACTGAAGCTACCAGAAGTAGGAGAAAGGAAAACAAAATATGGACAGTATCCCCAAAGCGTAATAGATTATAGAAGGTCTCGGTTTCCCTTTCAGCGATGGAAGTCTCTCCACCAGAAAATTTTTTTAATAAGGGACCAGCTCAGGGTTCTTTTCTACCCAATCCTTCCCTGACTCCCAGCTGTGTCCTGACAGGAGGGCTTCTCTGAAAGTGAGAAGGGAGGGGAGGATAAGTTCCCTGGTCAGGTATCTGAGAATATATTTTGCATTATTATGCATTTCAGCTGCCTCTGTAGCTCCTGTGCCCTGGGAGAACTAGAAAGTGGTCTTTCTACTAATTACTGATTTCTCATTAAATTGAATAGTCGAAGCATTTTGTACCTGAGGCTTCGGGTTCCTGCAAAGAAGGAAGTGTGGCGGAGCAAGGAAGGTGTCAGATTATTCTGTTGGGAGAGGGTACACTTGGGAGAAAGACCAGAGAAGAAGAGTTCATTGTGCCCTTTTTATTTTAATAACACAAATTTCCTGGTTACTCCAGGATCTCTTACGAAGCATGAGCCGACTCTCACCGAGGCTGACTGGCAGAAGAAACTGACTCCAGAGCAGTACTATGTCACGAGGGAAAAAGGAACTGAACCGGTGAGCCGAGCCAGCGGACAGTTGTGCTGGGGGTGAAGGGCTGGAATAGATCACCATCCGCTGCACGGATCTGGTCCCCCATTTACTGGTGCAATCCCTGACCCTTCTCTGGCGGTACCACCTTCTGTCCTCTCTCACCTCTGTTGCCTATTCTGTGTCCTGAATAAACTTCCGGTCGTTTCACCACTGAACCCCGTCACTTCCTCTCTTAGTCTCTGACTGTGCAACTTCCAGTTTTCCTACCTTAGAGCTCCTTGTTCCTTGCCTGGAGCTCTGGTTATGTCTGGACGACCCTCCAAGCCTCGTATGCTAATAGGTGGGGCTTTGGGGAGGCGACTGGATCTTGGGGGCAGGATAGCCATCAGCGGGTTAGACTAAGAGGAGCTTGTCGCTGACTTGCTTGACCCGGAAGGGTTTATGTTTATCCCTTCTACTCCTCCCTTCCCTCTCTCTCTCCACTGTGAGCAGCTCTCCTTCACCCAGGCCCTTCCACCGCACCGTTCTGCCTTGAAATCTTTACAGAGCTGAAATAAGTCTCTGCTCCTTTAACTTGTGGGTGTTGGTGTTGCGTCTCCGCAGAAAGGAAGTAACTAAGACACCGGCCATCCCTATCCTGTGGCCAAAGTCTTTTACTACAGCTGACCACCCCATTCCCCAGCGTGGAACCCCTTAGTGGCTTCCCACTGCTTTCAAGGAGAAAGAAAATATTAAATGGCTAATCGGTCCTAATGGCTCTGCCCCAGATTTCTCACCCCATCCTCACATCCACCCAGTTCTCTTCTGGGTCCCTGCACTATAACTTCCTTTCAGCCTTTGAAAGCCCTGGACTCTTTAAGGCCCTTGCATCCCAGTTTCTCCCTCTTGCCCATGACCCCTCCCCTAATCAGACCTACATTGAATTCATTTTCTTAGGGAAACTTTTTCTCGGTCCCAAGTGAGGTTCACTTCTCCCGGTACTTTTCCATCACAGCATTTGTCATTATCATCTGTGGGGCCTGGCTGTAGTAGGCACGCAAAAAATAAATGTTTGTGAATATTGAATGACTCTGTTTAGAAGCAGAAACAATTCCTTAAACCTTGTTCACCCCACTTAGCTGTCATTCCTTTCCTGAGAGAACGTCCATCAGTAGATTGGCATTATAAGACCATTTTTTATAGCACTGCTGTTTTTATCAAGACCAAATATGGCTGCTACAGTTCAGCTGTTGAACTCTATTATTAGTTATTTTCATTTGTGAAGCAGTCCCACAGACCACTGTACAGTGGTTTCACAATGTTGTAGAACATTTCTGCTTTGACCGCAGTTCAGGCGGAAGTCTGTGGGCACATGGCCCGGTGATGATGGTCACATCCTCAGTCACTCTGACACCAGAGTCCTCAGACAGACCTGCAGAGCCCAAGGGGATGTCCCCTCTCCTTTGTTGGCTTCCATGGGCCCTGTTCCCACTTCTGTCCATAGTTGCACAGGGAACTATCGGCTATCATCCCTTCTTGAGTGAGTTCTCTGCTCATAGTGTTGTGTTGACAGGATCAGAGAGGGAGCGCCATTGGTCCAGACAGACCTTAGAGTCGCAGGGCTGTCTTGGACTTCGTTCTGTCCCTGCCCCTACATAGCGAGCTATTTCCATTCCCTCTTCTAAGTCACTCTTGACTCTCTCCTCTCTTTCCAATTTCCAGCCAGAGCAGGATCACCATCCAGACCCGCACCAGTGACCAACCCCCTGATTTTCTTTTTTTTTTTTGTCCTTTGCCTCCAGTGTCATTTACTCCTGCTGCAATCCATTCTTGACTTGATGTCAAGTGACCTTTGTAAAAGCCAACTCTGGCCACGTGCATACCCAGCGTACCAGTATCCAGTGGCTGCCACGTCCAGCAGGACAAGGCGACATACTGATTTGCTTGTAGCTCAGCCTTTCCTGGCCTCTCCTGCCTGCCTGGCATCCTCTTCCTTCTCTCCCTCACCTGGCTGTTCTGCCCACTGTCCTGAAACATCCTGAAATCTTTTCATTTGATCAACTCTGACTTATACTTCAACATTCAGCTTAGTGCTTTGGCGTGTTTCTGTACCAAACACCGATCCGCTGTGTAATGTAGTAATAAAGGTTCAGAAAGAAAGACCCTCTCACCTCAGACAGAATGTAGTGCTGCACGCCTTCATGGGAACTCCCCATGGGAAGGGTCCCAAGCTACCCGACTCCTTGCCAGTCTCTGTCGTGGCCACCATCATGCCAGTTAAGTGCAGCCCACGTGTCTCTCCCCACCGAGGCAGCAGGTTGTGTGAGGACAGGAACTATGGGTTTAACATTGTTTTCCCCCCCTGCAGCATTAGCACCCAGCCCTGAGGCTCAGTACTGCTGAGTCTGTGCTAGATTGGCAGTGAATGCTAGAATAAGGGCTAGGGATAGAGCTCAGTTGCAGAGAGCTTGTCTAGCTTGCTTGAGTTCCTGGCTTTGAGCCCCAGCACTGCAGATAAATAAATACTAGAATGGGCGAGTGAGATAGGAGTTGAGTTTGGTCCTAAGTAAGTGATAAGATTCTTATCAGGTTGAGGGATGGGAAGGAGGATATCAGGAAGTGGGTAGATGCCATTCATAAAATATTGGCAAACAATTCCTTTTCATTCGAATTTTTATTCTACTTACTCTTCCTGGCAGTCAGTCCTTTGTCTCTTGTGCCTGTCTGTCCCCTGCAACCATGAAACTGGATTTTAATCTTACTATGCTGCTTGGTTCCTGTCAGTAGGGTTTCCTCGATCAGCCTTGGGCAGGGGCTCCTTTGGCAAGGAGGCCCCGCCGCCCAGGGTGTGGGACGTAAAACTTCCTTTGGGGCACAGATGCTGTCCAGCCCACTGCTGAGAGGAGGCATTCAGGGGCAGGGCCCGGAAAGGCCAGCTGAGCGCCTGTGGACTTCTGCAGCCTAGCGTAGTGTTCAGAAGAGGAAAAGCATCCAAGTGGCCTCATCCGGTGGGCTCAGTGGGTTAATTTGAGAGTGTACATTCTGCAGCCTTCTTGCTGCAGGGAGTCTGGAGGTTCCAGGTTCCTGAGTTGGGAGGGGCGGCATGGGCTGAGGAGTCCACTTGTTTCCCCAGGGGCTCTGTTGCCTGGTGTGCCAGATGACCCTTGCCACTGTGGTGCAGACCTGCACAGCATACGTGAGACTTTCTTTTTCCAAACTTTTTTTTGACCACGAAAATGGTAAAAGGAATTGGGCGGCAATGACCTTTGTAAAAGACAAAATGCAGTGCGATCCAGGTTGCAGAGTAACGTGTCAGAGGAATTGCTGACTTGGCTCGTGTCCCTCTCAGCTGCCTTTGAGAACCTGAAGGCTCCTGAGGACCCCAGGAGCATAGTCATTTTAGCTAAGTAGCGACCTAGGGCCTGGAAGACCTGGCTCATCCTCTGACACTCGCCGGATGTGCAGTGTGCTTGCAGGCTCTGATCTCACAGAACTGGGCCTTTTGTGCACTTCTGTCCACCCGCCTCTGTGGGGGTAGAACCCAGGCCTCTAGCTCTCTAGGCAAGTCCTGTCCTGCTGAGCTATGTCCCAACTCTTTATAATTCCATACTTAATTGGGGACTTCAGAGTATTTCAGACAAGTATTTAGGTTTCTGTTGTTTTAACTCTTTTGAAATGGGAGACTGAAATCTTAATCACAGCTTTCTTGCTTTTTCATGGACTTTGATGTTCTTGGATGAAAGGTGATACAGACATGCAAAGCATGATTAATGTCACAGTTTGAATATTTGACACAGTAAGGGCCTGGCTGTACATAAACCTGCAGGCTGCTTCAGTGGGTGACGGATTTTTCCCTCTGGTGATACTACACTTTGTCAAGCTAGTACAGAACTCCCTTCATTTGTACCATGGTTTTGTTTTGTTTTGTTTTGTTTTTTGCCACGCTGGGGATGGAACTCAGGGCCTTGCACCTGGTAGGACAGCACTCTACCCTTGAGGGACCCCAGCCCTTATCTTGAGTTTAAATCTGCGGTACCGCCTCCTGCCAGTGATATGGGAAAACTGCACATGATGATCTTGCTCGTTTTCAGCCTTTCAGTGGGATCTACCTGGACAACAAGGAGCCCGGAATGTATCACTGTGTGTGCTGTGACAGCCCCCTCTTCAGGTAAGGTGAGGGATCCACAGCTGTGGGAGAGAGCAACTCCCCATGCATACGGCCCTGTCTCATTTGAAGTCTTGAATAAATATATACTTTCTTGTTTTGGGTGCTAAGGACTGAAAACCACAAGTGCTAAGGACTGCATCTGCTCCATCCAGAGCCCCACCCCAGTCTCTCCTTGGTGTTGAACTGCCCTTCTCTCTTGGCATTGCTGTAGTGAGAGCTGTTCATAAAAGAAACTTGTCCATCTCAGTTTTGTCCTAGCATATAGAGCAGTTAACAGGACTTCTTGGCTTATATTCTTCCTTTATGTTTCCTTGAGAAACAGTGAACAAATAAAACCCTGGTGGGTTCCTTACAGTAACACTATTAAAATTTTTTAGAGGGAAAAATATTTAAAGAAATCTAAGTCCTAATAGAATTTGCTTGACCATGTGATTAAAACTATACCTCTTTCAGGGAAAATGGATTTATAATTTAATTTAGGAAATGTAGAATTTGATGAGGGTAGGTTCCACACAGTGCTTGACAGAAGGGAATACCATGCCCTCTCCCACGTAGCTAAAAGTAAATTTAATTGTCCCTTGATTTCAAAGCCTCTTTTAAGTCAATGGGGATCTACAATATCTCAACAAAGGCTTTTTTGTTTAGATATGCAGGAAGCAGTCTTAAAAAAGTGGATTCGATGAACAAGAAAAGAAACATCTTTGAAGTCCTATTTTTCAGAACTTCAAAGATGTTTTCCTTTCTTTTGCGTCAGCCCTAAATTGGTTTAGAATAAAATATAAATCAAGCCAGTTCTGTGAATCTTCCATTAGCCAGGGTTCCTCCTGTCCTCTGGGCTTTGAGTGGACTGGCTTTCCTGGCCATCTGGCTGCTAATGGGGACTGCATTAGAGAGGCAGACCCCACTGCAAGGAGGAAGATTGATTTTCCTTTGGCCCAAACCCCTGGATGTTGTCGGAACTGCTGAGGAGGTCTTGGGGAGGGAGCCGAGCCTGGTCAGCATGGGGATAACTAAAAGGAAGTTCATTTTTACAGTGAACCTAGAAAAACAGACCGTTTTCCCCAATTGCACACCATGGTTCTAGTCGACTGGCTGTAAATTCCCACAGCCCCCTCCTTGGGTATAATTAATTTGCTTGCTCTAGGAGCTCACAGAACGCAGGGAAACACTTATGTTTACTGGTTTAGATTAAATTAAATTAAATACTTTTGTTTTTTGAGACAGGGTCTTCCTGTGTAGCCCAGGCTGTCTTTGAACTCTCTGTGATCCTCCTGCCTCAGCCTCCCAAGTGCTGGGCACCATGAAGCCCAGATCTTACATTTTTCTGTTTTTGTTTTTTGTTACTGGTTTATTATAAAGGGTATTACAGAGGCTGTAGATAAAAAAGATGCATACAAGGAGGTGTGAGGGAAGGATACAGAACTTTCATGTCCTCTCTGGGGACACCCTCCAGTTACACAAAGCTCTCTGGACTCTGGCCTTTTGGAGTTTTATGGAAGCTTCGTTCCGTAGTTATAGTTGATTAATCATTGACCACTGGTGATCATTTTAACCTTCAGCCCTTCTCCCTTCCTGGGAGGTTGGGGCTAAGACTGTAAGTCCCAATCTCCTGCGCCTGCCTTGCTTTCTTCTGGTGAGTCCCCACCCTGAAGCCACCTAGGGGCTGCCAGCAGGGGTTTGACTCATTAGCGTACAGAAGACACTGTCGTTCTGAAAACTCCAAGCATTCTGGGTGCTGTGTATGCCTGGAAACAGGCAGAGCACCACAGCTCACTTCACAGCTTCACAGCAATCCATGCGAGACTCACATGGGCGTTTCTTGCTCTCTGACTTTTCCTTCTGTGAGTGTGGGGAGGTAGGATGTTAGCCTGGCCAAAGGCCCTTTCTGTAAAAGTCTAGTCATCAGGTGGACGCTCTGCATCTGTCGGTGTTTGGACTGTGACGACAAAAGATGCTGAGCCGCCTTCGTAAGAGCGCGCTTCCAAATGTTAGTCTGTGTTCTTCAGCTTCAGCGGTCCAGATCTGTTGAGAGAAGGCCTTGTTGTGACCCCAGGCCCCCTCCCACCCCTGAGCCATGCAGACTCAGTGACGGTCACGGAAGGATGGAGCAGGGTGGGACCCGAGCCCCAGAGAGCTCTGCCTGGCAGGACTTGAGGTGGAGGTGGAAACGCTGTGTGTCCGCTGTGGCCATGGTGGTGGCTGCTCACCACCTGTGCCTAGGAGCCTTGGAGATTCTGGCGGAAGAGCTGAATTTTTCATTTCATTTAATTTTAGTTCACTTAAATTTAGAAGGTCGCGTGTGGCCAGTGGCTACTGTATTAGCACAGTGCTCATCCAAATTAAGAAAGCTAAGTGGCGAACCCAGGTCACTGAGGTAGCAAAACTACCAAAACTAACAGGAACACCAGCTGAGTCTTCAAACGCCTATTTACCTGGTGGCAAGTTCCCTGCACCACCAATTCATGTTTCCTTTTAAACATTTAATTTTAGTTGAAAAGTTTCTCCTTTTTTTAAGAATTTTTGAATTTATATTCCATTTTCCTGCTGCTGCTGCTCCAGCTAAAATCGAGGGAAATAAGAACATATCCTTGTTTGGGGTCAGTTTCCCGGTACTGTAACAAATACCTGTTCTAATCAGCTTATAAACAGGAAAGGTTCTGGTGTACAGTTGCAGAGGCAGGATTGGCCAATCCTCTTTTGCTAAGCGCATCATGACTAGAGTGCATGGTGGAGCAGAAGCAACCAACTCGTAGCCAGGAAGAGAAGGAAGAAGGGGCAGGGTACACTCCCAGGGACCCACGCCCCTCCAGTGAGGCCCCACCTTTTAAAGGTTCTGCCACCTCCCTAAGTGCCCATCTGGGGACCACAGCTTTGACACATGGGCCTCTAGGGGATATTTAAGACCCAAACTATAGCAATTCTTGAGAATCATTTATGTTCCAGGATATACTTTTTTTCAGTACAGGGAATTGAACCCAGAGCCTTCACACTGAGCTACATCCCAGCTCTTCTTTTTTAAATTTTTTATTTTGTGAGAGCCTCATCACTAAGTTATCCAGTCCAAGCTTGAATTTGTGATCCTCCTGCTCAGCCTCCGAGAGTATAGGGATTACAGGTGTATGCCACCATCCCAAGCTAAAAATACGCTCTTCTTAAAGATGCATTCATTTACAGTGGAGTAGGGAAGGCTGTCTGTGTACATCCTGGCTCCTTTGCAGTGTGGCCTTGAGAAAGTTTCTGAACCTCTCTGTGACTAGATTTCCTCACCTGCAAAATGAGAATAATAATAATAGTACCTAATCCATGAAGTGGTTGTCTATAGAAGAGAAGAATCACAGGCACAAAGAGAAGGCCACATGAATATGGAGGCAAAAGTTGGAGTTGGCCATCAGCCAGACTGATAGTCTCCCAGCCATCTGCATGCGGTGCTAGTGTGGAGGTGCGCAGTGAAGACTTCTTGCTGATAGATTAGTAATGTCTGCCCTGTAGCATCACAGTTAAGACATTACAGTTGTGAGGTCACCATGGAAATGCAAGAGAAGAGGCCACAACTTCTTGATCTGCTGTCATAAGCACTGAGTTCAGTACTTTGCAAATAATCCTTTCAGCCCATTGAACAGATATTAAAACTGGTGCTTCCAGTCTTTAACTTGTTCTAGGCCACTGTCTTGAGTCTGTTTTCTATTGCTCTAACAGAATATTGGATAGGAGGCAATTTAGAATGAACAGAAGTTAATTTGGGCTCATGCTTTAGGAGGCTGGGAGTCCAAAAGCAAGATGCCAGTGTCTGCCTGACTTCTAGTGAGAGAAAATGAGCAAATGAGAGTAAATGAGGAGACAAAGCATGAAGAGCAGCCTTGTTCTGTAACAGCCTGCTCTCATGGTAACTAACCCAGTCCTGTAAGAACTGCATTATTATTATTATTATTATTATTATTATTATTATTATTTATTATTATTTTGTCCCAAGATCGAACTCAAGACCTTGCGCTTGTGCGGCAGGTGGTGGGACCACTGAGCTAAATCCCTGGCTCTTGATCACCTCTTAAAGGCCTCACCTCCCAGCACCACAGTGGCAGCCTGAGTGGTCTCATCTAGTACATGACAGTGTCGGATTCATCTTCTACCGGAGCCTCTATGGTACACTCTTCCTCAGGGAGGGAAGCACTCTAGCAGTGAAAGACCCTGCTGGGCGTAAACCAGGAACTGCTCTTCATGTACACCTTTTCATCAGACCCTCAGCCACTCTCTGTGGTGCTGTTATTCTCACTTCCCATGAAGAAACTGAGTTCTGGGAAGACTGAATAGCTTGTCCAGGGTTCTGCAGCTACCAGTGAGACTTTGAGGCTCTAGGTCTCCAAAGTGCATAGTTTCTGTAAGGTGTGTTGGCAGTGCCCTCGTACTTGGGCACTCTAAGTCTGTGGCGCCAGATCTCCAAATGGCAGGCAGAGGTCCTGGGGAAGACAATGGCTTCTGGGGACATGGCCGGCCAGCTTAACCAGCAGGCTCCATTTCCAGAGCCTCATTCCCAGCCGCATCTGTCAGACCTAACATAGTCCGCCATGGCTGTACTGTCGCTGGAATGAATATGGCGCACATTCTTGTGTGTACATATGTGGTGGGGGTAGTGCGGATTGAACCCAGAGCCTTTGCACTGGCTACATCCCCAGCTCCTTTTAAAAATTTTGATTCAGGGTCTCTCTGAGTTGCTGAGGCTGGACTCAAACTTGCAGTCCTCCTGTGTGAGCATCCTGGGTGCCACTGTGTCTAGCTATAGTGTACATTCTTGGGCATTGGCTGCCCACCCAGATTAGAGACTTCAAGGTGAGGATTTTGGGGCCCAGAGCACATTCCAGGTTATCAGCATATTCCCTGGGAATTGCAGGCTACCTTGCCAACCTTAGAATTAAAAGGCATTGCCCTCCCCCCACCCCCTCTGTCTCCCTGTTTCTCCACCCCAGAAACTGGTTCTGGAAAGGTTTATTAAAATGTATTATGTGATCACATATTTCATGGTCATCACTTGCAGTAGCTGTTTGTCACTGTGACCAGGTACCTGATAACCACAACTTAAGGGAGAGAGGTTTATTTTGGCTTATGGCTTTAGCCCATGCTTGCCTATTCCCAAGGCAGAAATGGCGTGGGGAAGGGACTGGCAGATTGAGACGTTCGCTTCGTGTTGGCCAGGAAGTTGAGAGAAGGGTCTGGGAACAGGACGTACCGTGTCCTTCTCCTCTCCTAGGGATAGAACCCTAGCTGTGTGTGTGTGTGTGTGTGTGTGTGTGTGTGTGTATGTGTGTGTGTGACAGAGTTTCACTAAGTGCAGTCAGGACACAAATTTGCACTCCCCCTGCCTCGGTGCTGGGATGACGGGCGTGTGTCACCGCATCCAGCCAGAACACACCCTTCAGTCGGTGCCCTCAGAGACCTCCTTCCTCCACCTGGGCCCCAGCTCTTCATAAGCCCATTTAGCTTTAAACTGGGCAGTGGTACCCTCATGGTCCTGCTGCCTTCCCAAGGCCCCACCTCTGGGTGCTTGACTTTGGGGCAGATTTAGATCTAATCGTAACATAAATCAGACTCGGAGGAAACAGCCCGATACAAGTTCGCTTTTTACATGACACCTGTCCTGCCTGACCCAGCGAACTGAGTAATACCATTTAAATATTAAACCGTACTTCAAAGGAGTGGTAAAGCTAATCAGTGAGGGTTAGGATTGTCAGCTACCACCATGTGCTTCTGCTGTTGCTTTGGGGACCCTGGAAACCCAGAAAGAAGCAGCCACAAGCCAGATAAACAGAAACTAAACAAAAGAAAAACCTTTAGAGTATGTGATCCAGAATGGTTTTCATCTGCTAATCACTTAAATATGAATAGTGAAGTCTCTAACTGATCTTCGCATTTAGGTTTTTTTATCTTAAATGTTATTTGTTAGGACTCTCTGTCCTGCTGATCACAACTGTAAAGGTTTATTGTTTTCCATAAAATGTTTTAGTGACGTTTTGTTTGTCTTAGATTCATTCATTTAAAAAACTTTCTTATATTCATAATTCTTTCTCAAAATTCCTTTATTGATCCATCGTCTGTATAATGTTGAGGATGTGGTTAAAAGATGCTTATGATCTGGGCGTGGTGGGGTATGCCTGTAATCCCAGCATTTGGGAAGCTGAGGCAGGAGGATCGCTGAGTTTGAGACCAGCCTGGACTACATAGTGAGTTCCAGTTCAGTCTCAACTACATAGTGAGACCCTGTCTCAAAAAACCAAAAAAAACCAAAAAACAAAAAACAAAAAAGGTGCTTATGATGGTTTTCCCTGGGACCGAGTGGCTAAGTGAATATTTGTGTTTGTTCTGGTTTCTGTACTGTTCCGTACTGGGTGTCAAACCCAGGGACTCCTATGAACTCAGTGCTCTTTCCCTGAGATGCACTTCAACCCTCAGGTGAGTATTTTTGAACCCTTGCAAGAATGGTTGCACAGAACCCAGCCCAACTGTGCAGACTCTGCTATTTGGGCCTGTGTGGCTCAAATTTCACAAGTATCTGTTTCTATAATGATATTAAAACAATGGCTATGGGTTTATTTATGGGCCGCATGTCAGACACTATTCTAAACACGTATACAGAAAAGATGGAAGCGAGTCTTCCAGCAGCCGTGTGAGGTAATAACACCGTAGCTGTTTGGATGATGAGACTTAGAGTTCAGTGACTTTTGGGGGACGCACAGTTGTAACAATGTGCATTCCCACACAAATCTTTGGGAAATCACAGAGGAGCCCCAAGGAGTCCCAGGATCTGCGAGGATCCTTTTCCCACAGATCCATCCACACGAGGTTGCGTCCTTTTCTTTTTGGTGCTGAGAGTGGGACCAGGGCCTCGGCCAGGCTAGGGAAGCCCTTTGCCACCAAGCCCCAGAAAATGAATCAGAACGACACTGGCAGTGAAGCCACAGGCACAGAAGATTCAGTTGCCGTTTTTCAAGCCAGACAAGAGATTTTCGAGGTTGTAAATCAGTGCAACCCTTCTTACTCAACATCTGTCTAATTTTGGAAAAGACTGTTGTCCTAAAGTGTTGTGTTAATGTCACGGATTTATTATTCTTAATGACTCCACGTTTAAGTTGTCATAATTTCTAATTTGCCCAATACTGACAAATGCAGCCCCTGTGAGAAGAAACACTCAGAGACCGTAGTCATTTTGAGGTGCAGAGGGGCCCTGAGGCCAGAATGTGTACGACTCATCCCGCTGTCCTTCCCCCGTGGAGTTTTGCTCCCAGCTCTGCTTCCTTCTGGGCTCAGCATCTAGGGATTCAATTATCCCCCGCTCTTTTTTTGTTTGTTCAGTTTCTGCAGGGTTTACTTTTCGATTATTTCTTTCTTAGGTAGAATCATCTCTACCATCTTAAACTTTTTAAAATCTGTCTTCCTAGTGCCGTTCACGGGAGCTCATGTGTCTGGGCTCTTGGAGAATGAGGTCTTTGTTTAAATAACGCGGGGGGTGGGCGGTGCTGAGGATGGAACCCAGGCCCTTCGCGTACCAGGCAAGTTCCCGGCACTGAACCACGTTTCCAGCCCCAAGAACAGGGTTTGGGCGAGTTGGAGTGCCTCTGCCCTGCTCTCCTGCCAGCACCTGTGCCTCGCTCCAGGCTTCAGCGCCTGTGTTAGTCCGCCTTGCAGCGCTGTGATAAAATACCTGCGATAAACAGCTCCTAAGCGGGCGGGTTGATTTTGAACATCGCCATGCAGCTTCTAAGCCCGTGGTGAGGCAGCAGGACATTACGGCAGGGGTTGCGGTGAAGCGGGGCTGCTCACTGCATCAGGGCCGGAGGCAGAGAGGGAGGAGGGGGCCTGGGGACACCGCGGGGACCGACTCCCTCCAGCTGGGCCCTTCGACAGCCACTGCTTCCTCATAGCTCTCGACCCAGTCACCCCCAAAGGCCCCGCTTTTCAATGCCTTGGGGACAAACCTTCGACCCATGAGCTTGTGGGTGGCGTTTCAGATCAAACTGTAATAGTGTCACCAGTCCCTTGGAAACTTCCCTGGGTGGTCGGGCTCCTCTGGAGTGATGGACAGCAAGTATTTATTCATACTGGCGGGGAGCGCTCCTGAGCCCTTACCGGGTGCCCACCCCTGGGCTGAGCTTTATCCCACACTCTGCCGAGTGCCCCCCAGGTCCTCCAGATATCCCTGTAGAGTAGATATTATTGTCCCCATTTTACAGGTAAGAAAACCAAGCCTGCAGGCGGTGGAGTAGTTGCCTAATTTTGCACTGCTCAGAAGTGGCAGGCAGAGCTTTGAGCCCCTGTAGTCAGTCAGGCGCCTGCCTGCTGTTACAGCTGCAAATTGCTGGGGCTAGAGGTGACTGATCAGACGTGACAGTCCTCTGATGTGCCCAGATCTTGCTGACCTCCCTTGACTACTCTTCTTTTTGATTTCCCTTTTCTGCATTCGGAACTCAGGGGTTTGATCTGCGGTTCCCAGAATGCAGCACCATCCACAAAGCTCCTAGTGTTTTGGGGTCCTTTAGATCGGACACAGAGAAAAGAGCCGTGGGCATCAGAGGAGCAAGCCACCCTTTCACTGTGGCCAGGCAGTGTCTGACGGGAAGGTGCAGCAGGGACAGACTCTAAGATTGGTCGTACCCGTGGCTGGGATGGGGCCTGCAGCAGAGGACAGGCAGCAAGCGGGCCTACCGGCCAGAACGGGACAGCAGACTCTCCTGGCGTGTTAACAGCAGCGTCTGTAACAGCCGTGTTGTGTTCCGCAGCTCAGAGACGAAGTTCTGCTCCGGCACCGGATGGCCTTCATTTTCCGAGGCTCATGGCGCATCGGGCTCAGACGAAAGTCACGCAGGGGTCCTTCGACGCTTGGACATGTCCGCGGGGTCGGCTCGCACAGAGGTCGTCTGCAAGCAGGTGGCGTAGTTTGCTTTGGCCAGTCTTCTCGGGTGCCACGCTGAGGGCCGCCTGTTCTTGGCACCGCTGCCATTTTCCCACGGGGCACTTTGTCCCCTGCGCACGTCGGACTCTGCCCGTGCCGCAGCCATCGCTCTGCCCGGATTCTGGTGCCGCGGGTGAAAGGCTGCCTACGCCACTCTCTGGTGCCTTGCCTGGCTCTCGCCTTCCCCAGAGATGGAGGGAGGTGGAGGCTGACGGAGAGGAAGGGCTGCCCCTGCGCGTTCTTCGAGCAGGGACAGGCAGCAGGAAGGCCCTGTGTAGTTGCATCCCCTGCCTTCTTCCCCACTCTGCATCGTGTCACCTCCGGCAGAAACACTCAGGTGACAACAGCTCCTGGCTCCTTCCGTGCGCCTGGTGGCTGGGAGCAAGTCAAATCCTGGCAGCGATTTCATTTTGCAGTCCCTGGGTGCACATTTCCTGTTGCGTCAGTTGTATAAAGCAACAGAGAGGAGCAGGTGAGGTGTCACCGTGTTGCCTTTATTAAGGAAGATAATAATATGCAGTTTACCACATGATCGATTGAGCACTCATTCAGGAACTGTGTTGCGTTGTACTTGCGTTGGGCCAGTTAATCACTGCACAGCTGTTGTGTAAGTGTTGCCCATTTTATAGATGAGTAAATCCGGGCCAAAATGTAATACTCTGTTGGTTTTCTCACTGGGAAGGTAGGACTATTCATCGCCGCTGTGCCCTGTGTTCTTCTCTTTCTTAATGAATTCTGGTGCAAATTCTACTTTTCTCACGCAGATGTTAAGCTCTGGAGTGGGTGGCGGTGCGGGGTTCTTCCATCTGGTTCCCCAGGAAGGTCTCTCCGCGCTGAGACTGATGGTGGCTTCTCCCCTGCAGTGCGAAGCTCACCTTGGCCACGTGTTTCCTGACGGGCCGGAGCCCAGTGGTCAGAGGTTTTGCATCAACAGTGTGGCCCTGAAGTTCAAGCCAAACAAACAGTGACCGTCTCCAGCAGTCCCTCCCGGGCCACCGCTCCTCACGCATCCTTGATTCTCATAATTCAGGTGGATGATTTGTTTTGTGTGCTGCAAAATCAGGCTGTTTGCTGCTGGCTCCAGAAGTCACAGTGTCACTTGTCTACCTGGGGTCCAGCCTGACACCTTGGACTGCGGGATTTCACAGCGGGGCAGCTGTGTGCACCACTGCCTTCCCAAGGCCTGGGGTGGGACGGCAGGAGGCTGGTGGGAGGAGCCAGAGCGTTCCGGCAGAAGGACCCTGAACTCACCACTGTAGTTGTGTCCTCCAGGAGCCCTGAGCAATCCCAGCACGGCCAAGTAAGTTCAGAAGGAGCTGTGTTTTGCTTAGCGCACGCGTGATGATGATATGGGTGATGTGTTTCCAAATCTTTACTGTCTCAAATATTCTACTTTCAGCCCTAACCCCACAAATCAGCTCCAGTGTGAGCTTGTTAGATTTGGTCCATTACCAGGAAAAATGTTCACCTTTGTATCTTCTGGCTACAAAGTTAAACTTTAAAATGTTCAAATAAAATATTTACTGAAATCCATATTTGCTTTTTGTCTGAGTCTACGAAATTGCTCTTTTATAAACATGATGAAGTGAAAATAACAAAGATTCAGATCATCTGGCTACCCAACAGGTCTGGCAACACTGGTATTTCACAAATTGCATCTTGAATATTTTGTTACCGGTAGTACTGAAGTCATTTTCTTTGTTTCTTCATGGGCAGAAGGGAAATAATTGTTTGATTTTTTCTCCTCTTTGTTAAACTCTTCTTTGACCCTTCTTTTTGTGGCTACCCCAGAAGACCCACGCCACACCCTTACCTTGTTTCTGCCATGTGCAGATCCTGACTTATTTTTGGTTTCTCCAAGGGCACTAACCTTAGAACATGAATTCCATTGACCCTGTCTCGTACTTTGTGCTAATGTTGCCGTATACTTAATCTTGCATGTTTTAAACGATAATGACAAATTGTCATTAGTAATGTAGAGATGGTATTCATTTATATTTACCTGTATATCTGCCCATAGGTTGTCCCGTCCCTGCAATTCCACCTTTTTTGTGGGATTATCATTCTTCTACTCAATAACTTATTTTATTTTTTTTCCTTTTAGTTCATGTTTCCTACTGATGAACTTATTTAGTTTTTTTTTTTTTTTTTTTTTTTTTTTTT